TGCCCTTGTTACTAGTAGTAATGCCCTTGTTACTGGTAGTAATGCCCTTAGTAATGCCCGTGTTACTAGTAGTAATGCCCTTGTTACTAGTAGCGATGCACTTGCTACTAGTAGCAGTTCGTCTTCCGTTTTACCTGGCACAGTATTCAACTCTCACCAGGTCCAAGGTCATCCAAAGGTCGTATGCCGATGTCTTCCCTCCATCCGATGCGGAAAAGGCCCTCCGAGCACTTCATGAAGCGCTGCGGACACCCGGTAGGTGCGCGGGACTATGCCGATCCGTGGACGTTCGGCCGGGTTTGGGGAGAGCGTCTATGCCGATCCCCAGGTGGTGGAGGGGGAAACGACCTAAAGGCCCACGAAGGTTCTTTTGTTTTGGCCCGCTCCCCTGCCTCCCTACTTAATTGAGTAGGCGCTCCTGGCATTACTACTAGGAACAAGAAGCTACTAGGAACAAGGGCATTGCTAGTAATAAGGGCAATACCACTAGAGGAAGCTTCTTGGCTTTGTCCATCTCAGTTCTGAGGTGTGTAGAGTGGAACAAGATTGTACAATGGTAGAGCCTTATTTGATGGCCCAAATCAAACCTTCTGAATTCTCAGGGATGGCTTCTGAAAACAATTTGGTGTTCCGAGAGTGTTGCAGGGTATCCCCATTATTCTGCTTGACACATATGGTTGAACGACAATATCGCACTGCTGGGGATACCCTAGAATTGCTTTTCGTTCAAGTGAGCAGGTGGTGCAGGAACATCGTAGAACACCATGTGGCTGGCGCGTAGATTGGCCTGCGCGAAGCTGCAATGCACTTATCAACAGTCGCACAACGATGTCATAACAGCCAAAAATAGCAAGAAACTACTAGTAGCTCCTGGCCTTACTACTAGTAACAAGGACGCTACTAGGGGCTCCTGGCATTGCTACTAGTAACAAAGGGCATTGCTACGAACGGAGCACGGACGCTACAGGTGCATCCTCCCCCGCTCCCGTCCGCACATCGCTAGGGCGCATGTTTGTGGCAGAGATTGCCGCGGACCTACAGGTGCACCGTGTGGAGCCCAGTAACGATGTGTGGTGCACCGAGTCGGTTTCGGAGGGTCAAAGTGGCCGGTTTCGCGTCCTTGCTCCTAGTAGCGATGCCAGGAGCCCCTAGTAGCATACTACTAGTGGTCGAAACGTGACTTTGACACAATCATTTGTGGCAGGTCTAAACGTGGAGGCCATCGCTATTAGGTTGGAGGCCATCGCTTTTAGGTTGGAGGCCATCTCTCTTAGGTTTTCTAAGTCACTGGAGAACCTAGGGTGGAGGCCTACTGGTTCCTAGAGAGTTTAAGACCCGAACTCCATACCATCGGGAAATCTCCTGAGAAGGTTGTTTGCAAAAGACCTGGTTGATTTCAGACCGTCTCGCATGACGTGCTGATGCCTCGATGACAGGCACAACCACCATGAAAAAGGAACGTATCACAAGCAGAGGGTACAAGAGTGCGATCCACGGCAAGGTGTGTGTGTGTGGCTTCCTACCAAGCATCATATACAGTACAGGCTTAAAGTTCCACGTGAAGGAAACACATGATCGTCCATGTGAACCATGGCCGTTGAGGGTTGGATCGCATTGAAGTTCTTTGTGCCTGATAATTTGGGCACAACGGCACAACATCCCTTTGACAAGGCCCAAGATTCAGCAAGAATCCTTGTGACTACACTGTATACATGCCGCATCCACTGATTCTCTAGGGGACCAGTCTATATACCAACAACAACAACAACAACAACCACCATGTTCACATCACCGAAATCATTTTCTTCCTTCGTTCGCTTCCTTGGTCAATCTCCGCTCGCTTTGCTGGCTTTGCGACTGAGATCACCGCTTCACGGTGCGGATGGAGTCCGAAATTCAGAACGCCTCCCAGCCATTGATCAACAAGGTGGGTGTTGTGCGAGAGTAGGTCAACAGGTGGTTGTTTGCTGTTTCCTCCATTTCGTTTTGGGAATCTGCAGATCTAGAAGGAGTATGGCAAGGCCCTGTCAAAGGTGTGGATGGTTGATCCTAGATTTGATCAGATTGTTCTGATTGTTCACTATAGTGTGGATGGTTTCTGGGTTCAACTGATTCGGTTTGGACGAGGGACAGCTGATTTGGCTAAGAAGACACCCATGGTGAACAAACACCAGCCAATTGTTCCCTGGAAATCACTTGGGGATTCATGAGGAGAGGGGGTTGGTTTTTCGACGTGTCTTTTCTGGGAATCCTACTTGTGGAAACTGTAATTCAACCAAGCAGGAAATCACTTGGTGCCAATATGACCACTTGCCCATTGTGATGCACGACTTTCTGTTGAGGGAACGGGGGTCGTCTGAGGGTCCAGGAATAGTAATGGTTTGGTTCTTGTGTGTTTTCGGGATATCGACATACCCGAACACACACACACATCACCGTTTTTGCTTCGCGTGCTTCAGACCAGTCATCCATTTCTGAACAAATGAATGAGTAGGACAGATGAAAGAACACCAGTTGGCGATCCGTTCGGCAGTTTTGTAGAAACAATGCAAACTGGTGTCCACAAGAGTACAGGGTGAACTGCCCCAAAGCGCTTGGGGTGCAGGTTTGCCTTCTGACTGAAAGAACACCCCAGAAAGCAACATATTTTCTTCACAAGGGCTGTCAGCCATTTCCACCGTCATACTGCACTTTATTCTTATCATCATCGCATCGTCACCAGCAAAAAAGTTTGCCAAAGTATGGACGATTGATTTTCAACACAGCTTGCATGTTTGCAACACGAGGTTCCAAACAGTTCTCGCAAATCACCTGAAAGCAAAGGAAGATCTGGAAGGGATTCCTCCTGTAAAGGCAACGATCAATATGGCGCGTCGGCCCGAAAAATTGCACCCTTTCTTCAGCTTGAGGGAAAAGGCAGCTTATGCCTTCAGGTTTCATGTGTCCATTCATGGTCTGTACTCTCTCGATTTGAACGTGTCATCACACACGTTTCACCTTTCCACACCTCCAGTCTTTACGTTTTCCTGATTTCGGCCACAAAAAGACCCCACAGAGGAGCCCTTCCACCACTGGGAGAAGAACTGGACACTTGGCAGCGCTGGATGTGTCAAGCGTGAGGTTAGGAGTTGAAAAAGGAGCCCCGAACGTAGCGTCTTGTTACCAGCTACTTGTTCCTAGTAGCGAGGCCAGGAGCCCCTAGTAGCGTCCTTGCTCCTAGTAGTAAGGCCAGGAGCCCCAGTAGAGACCTTTCCAGAGCTTTGTCGCTGGGGACTTGCTTCAATTTGTTTTGCAACCACACACATGCGTCAAATCATACCTACAATCCTTCGCATGGCTCTTTTGGTTCTTGACCTCTAAATATTTCTACGTTGCAACCCCATTTCAGGTGGGTTATGGTGGATGAACCAGCTCCATGAGTCATGACAGGGTAGATCACGTCATCTCACACATGGTCTGATTCGGGGAAGGACGGAAGGACACAGGACTGTTCCAAACATCCTATGTCAGTGTTGTATTGTGGAAGGACATGCAGAAGTTTTCTGATATATCTTTGAAGTAATGGCACCTCATCCGGATCCCAGAAACTGTCGATCAATGAAGTCTGCTTTGCGAAGTCGACAGCTGCCGTTTTGCCCCAACCTTACATCTCCAAAGTTTTTGCGGGGCTTTAGCTGATGTCCAATTCCAATTTCTTTGGACTTCTTTGGCGCTTGAATCTGGGTGTCTTTGATTGGTGGCTTATTGACACCGGGTACTGCCACATGGTAAGCGTGGGAAAACCTTTGTTCATCTATCGGAACAATCATAGTGAGATTTTGGCCAAGAGCTTTGAGAGAGGCGTGCCATTTTTGGAGGAGCATCTTGCAATTCACTATATATATATATATATTTATTTGGGGGGAGGGTCCAAGGTGGAAGCCTGGCAGTATTCCACATTTTTGTCATCCATCAGCAGGTTCGACCATTGTTCTTTCGCCGGAAAAGACACTTAGCAACTGTTCTCATGGAGAACCCCAGTTTTGTTTCAGCCAAACAGATGGATCAACAAGAACAGCCTAAGTAACAAGTGCATCGCTACTAGCAGCAAGAAGTTAGTAGGTTGGAGGCCATCGCTACCAGGGTGGAGGCCATCGCTAGTAGGTTGGAGGCCATTACTACTAGTAGCAAAGACGCTACTAGTAGCTAGGTTTGTGGTCGCCTGAAGCGACCACAATGGACGAATTCTCCCAGATCGTGTATACAGAAGTTCTTTGTCCGAAACCGTGAAAGCTGGGGTTCTTACTTCCGAATGACTGGGTGGCTGATTTGCCTTTTGGTCCACTGCTGCCACTGCTTCCTTGTCTCCCAACTTGTGTCCTTCCTTGTCTCCCACTTGTGTCCTCACTTGTTTGCTTCTGTGATTTGCTCTTTGTCTGCTGCTGCTTTGTCTTCCCACTTGTCGTGAATTCAATGATACTCCTCCTGCCAACCTTCATGGGCTTGCTGGGCTAAGAGGAACAGATTTGCTTCCGTTTTGAGTTTCTTGCTATCTGGGGTCTATGCCGGTGTAATTTTATCCAGTCACTCCCCTCGTTGATGCCAAACCAAAGGTGCGGTACTGCCAGTAGGACTCTGTCAAGCAGAAGTAGTTCGTCATCATGGAGTAGATGAAAGCTAGTGAAGTACACAATTAATACCCCATGGAACATTGAGTCGGCTATGGGGTACATTGGATGCACAGCAGCATCAGCAAACATTAACCTCACCACTTGTGATTTGCCCAGGTCATATTATCCAATGCCCCATGTACTATCCATTCTAGGATAGTTGGAGATTCATGCCACCAACTGGGTCTGAGCAAGCCTCATTCTCAGTTTCCGCCAGAAAGGCGTCCCATGTCAGGAGTCCCTTCATCTACAAAGATGAAGATGGTGAGGAGCATTTGATGGCCCAAGAGGACGCGGTTCTGGAGTTTTGAGTGACAGGTGTCAACCCCCAAAGCCCCCTCGGTTGGGGATGCTTTGGTTGCAACAGACCAAACATCCTTCAACGAACGACGTTGGACGCTACGAACGGGGCTCCTGGCATCGCTACTAGGAGCAAGAACGCTACTAGGGGCTCCTGGCCGTACTACTAGGAACAAGGACGCAATCAGTCGCAAGAATGCTCCTAGTAGTACGGCCAGGAGCCCCTAGTAGCGTTCTTGCTCCTAGTAACGATGCCAGGAGCCCCTAGTAGCGTTCTTGTTACATCTTGTTACTAGTAGTAAGGCCAGGAGCCCCTAGTAGCGTCGTTGCTCCGAGAGTACATCTAGGGCTTTTCATGGACATCCAAATGTTTATCCTGTACTCTGTTTCTACATTTGTTCGGGATGCTGGTGGATTGGCCGCGGATCATTGAATACAAAGCACATTGGAGTACTTTTCCTTTACCTTTACAAGGCCGGTTTTTGAGGTGTGCGCTGTACCCCTTTAAACGGAGTGTACAGGGCGAGTCATTGCCATCGAACGAACCTGGAATGAGTTGGAACTGCTTCTTTGCACGACTGGTGAGGACACATGCAGATTGGTTAGTGCCGGCAGGAGTTGTGGATGAATCCATGCCGTGCCCAGTGCAACTAGCGTAACCAGTGTCGCCAGTGCTCCTTTTTCACCAGTTACGCGGATAAGACCGCTGGCAGCAGTTATGCCAGATGACTAGAGAGGTCAGCGCGACTAGTGTAACCAGCGTAGTCAGGGCGTACCCAGCGTAACCAGGGTGCCAGTACTGTTCGAGGACACGCTAAGCGCCATGTGGCTCAAAAACTTCTATAACAAACGACGGTACAAACAGAGGTACAAATACGATGACTATCACACAACCCCGTATCACTCCAATCTAGTTATACGACTTTTGGATGATAAGGGTGAGAAAAGACGCTGATCTTGTCAACTTGTGGAATCAACTGCAGTCTGGTGAAACTGATGATAGCCGTAGAGGTTGACAAAGTTGTAAAGGTTGACGAAGTAGAAAGGTAGATCATAGAGGTGACGAGCAGAACTGAGTCACAACATGATAGTATGGATCCTCGGACGATGTAAGCAAAGGCATGAAGAACACTGTATCGGACACGGCATTTTCCCACCCAACATAAAATCACTGTCACTTGTCTACTTCGAAATGGATGGGGTTGGTCTACCTATAGACTACAGGCCAACCCCCGGTAAAAACCAGCATGATGTTCCAAATGAGTACAGCCGGGAGATAGGATGCTACTTCTGGACGGAGTTTCTCGAGCATTTGGCTACAACTCCAGCTGGGCCGAATCTGTCAGATGTGCATTCGAATAGAAACAAGAAGCTACGAACGGGGCTCCTGGCCTCGCTACTAGGAGCAAGGACGCTACTAGAGGCTCCTGGCCGTACTACTAGGAGCAAGTTTCTACTAGTAACAAGACGCCTGTAGATTCGAATAGAAACAGCGTATTTGTGCCTTCCGCTACGCAGCTCCTCCCGACTCAACCGGCGTTCTTGATACACTCATGGAAAACAGCTGAGAATTTCTCCTTTCAACCCACTAGCGATGGCCTCCAACCTAGTATAATCCTTGTTTAGGCCCGTAGACTGTAGACCTGTTTTGTTTCCTTCCTTTTTTTTCCTTTGGGTTTAGGCCAGGATTCGCGACTATACAATCATGGTTCCATAGCCAGAAACGAGGCGACCGTAATACGGCAAGACCACGGCGCAAACGAAATGGGCGTTGGCCACAGCACACTGCTGAGCTGGTGAACGGTGATCACACACACACACTGGCTGGCACTAGCCCGAACAGCCAGTATCCAAGTTAAGCTCTCCCAAAAGGATTGAAACAGAACAATCTCGAGGTAATTGTAAGTTAAACTACTAGGGGCTCCTGGCCTCGCTACCAGGAGCAAGGACGCTACGAACGGAACAAAAACAAAGAAAACGCACACTCCACCCTCCCCGGCGTTGAAGCGGACCGCTGGGTCAGGACGTCGAGCCGCAGGTGGTGGTTTCCATGGATCATCAGCCACTGGGAAGGAATGGCTTTGGGCTGGACGAAGCTGGACGGTTTCACTGACGGTTTCACTGAATTATCAGTTGTGTGACAGTTGTGTGATGCCGAGATCTTGCAGGTTTTAGGTTCACTCGCCTCGCTTGGAGGAACACCAAGCTCTTGAAGCTTGTTGACTTAGAGAAGAGTGCATAACAGATGATGCTTTACAGTTCAATCTACTGTCTTGCTTTTGCTGGAGCAGACACTATGAGGCGAGAGGGGGCGGGTTTGATCGCATTTCCCATAATAACAGGGTGGTCTCACCATGCAAGGATGGCCATCCTTCGATCTAGGGCATCCGATTTTTTACAGAGATGTTCCTCCAAGCCTGTGGTATTTGGACAAGGTCAATGACAACCGCCGCCGAGATCTATAGCCCTATGGAGTCATGAAATGGCGGAGTATGCCTGACTTGTAAAACTCTGGACGGAGTAGTTGATGTGCAACTGCTTGCAGGGTCCTTAAGTACACCACAGTCTCAGAGCGAAAAGTGAGGTTCCAAGCGCAACACACAAGAAAACAGGAGAGGGACACATGAAGAAAAACACACCCAAGAGCACACTCCACCGCCACCGAAAGCACGCTTGCATTGCCCCGAGGTTCATTGCGGGCCAACAGGTCTACAACACCAGCTCTCCACAGGTGATCGGCCCTGGGCCGTTCGGCGATGGACCTTCGCACGCGCAGATGGTGCACCTGTGTGGTGTTGCACACGAGTTTTTGTCCTGAGCGATTCATGGATCACATCACGCCACCTGTGTTTGGCGGCTTTTTGACTGTAGGGCCGGGGCCGGTACGGCTGTTACAGGCCGGCCTTGGCTGATGGAACTGCATGGTACAGTGTAGTGTTAGGGGCCGAAAGACCAGTTAGGAAAATAGGATTTTGGGGTGTCTAAAAACAACAGTTTCATAGGCGTCATAAGGGTCAGCTTGGTCCCCGGTTCCGTAGGGAGGTCGTGATTTGTCTGGGAAAAGCACTTGCCAGCTTTCCTGACATCCAAACAGACGACCAAGCTCCCACAAAGCAGTGTTCTGGCGACGACCGACCGAGAGAACGCCCACCTTAAAAAAGACACTTTAGACGATCTCGTGGCATGCCAGGTGATTCCGACGTGTTAGCAACTTGGGGAGGGCATGTGAGGACATTTGTTGACCCCCTTCCCAGGTATGGTTTGTTGCTAGTTTCTCATCTTCAAGATCTCTGTCTTTTTGCGAATACGGATGAATTTGAGCCCTCGCAACAAGTGGATTGAAGAGTCGACTATAGCCATCATGTGTGAGGGGAAAAGAAACACCTAAACCCATGCCGAACCACTAGTAGCTTCTTGCTACTAATAGCTTCTTGCTACTAGGTGCCTTACTGGTAGTAACAAGCTACTGGTAGTAACAAGCTACTGGTAGTAACAAGCTACTAGTAGTAAGGCAGCTTGCTATTAGTAGCTTCGTGCTACTAGTAGCGATGCACCTTGTTACTAGCAGACTGGTCTCTTTGGGCAGACTGCAAATTCTCGCAAGTCGCCCGTCAGATAGATGCCTGGGTCAAGGAGAAGCAGGCGCTTGGCGCGGGATACTCCCATCCAAAGAAGATTCACTTCGGTGAATTCGATGACCAAAGAATTGGGCAAAACCCTTTTTTGTGTCGTCTTGTCGTCGACACTTCATGACACTTCGTGACACAGCGAACCGAAACCCGTGTCGCTGCGTGTGACCAGTGATAGGTTGTTTCAGAAGGAACGGTTTCACCAACAAAGCACCGAATCACTTGGGGTGCTGCCCCCGGTGAAACAGATGAATTGAGCTCTTCCATGTTGTTCTTTTTGCATGTTTTCTTTTCATTTTCCGCACCTGTCAGGTGAGGGTTGTTAGATTTTACGTCAGCCCCATCTCCTCCTCCGCCTCGTCCTCCTCCGCCGAACCTCAACCGTGACCATCCACGCCCAGTGTTCCCTGCCGGACCTCAACCGCGAGCTCCAGGCCCAAGTGTTCCCTGCTGGACCTCAGCCACAGCACACAATCACAACCACAAACAAAATCACAAACACACTACAAACACAATCACAAACACGCAGCCACAAACACACAACCACCAACACAATCACAAGCTCGCAGCCACAAGCACAATCACACCCACACAACCACAAGCACAAACACAATCACAAACGCAACCGCAAAAAAAGCAACTACAAACACAATCACAAACACAACCACAAACACACAACCACAAACACACAATCGCAAACACACAACGAACACCCACAAGCAACCAACCACAAACACCAACACAAACACCAACACAAACACACAACCACAACCTCAAAACCACAAACACACAACCACAAACACACAACCACAAACACAACCACAAACACACAACCACAAAGACACAACCACAACCACAACACACAACCACAGCACACAACCCGAGGACCCACAAGGAAAATCAAGAACTACAATACTCACGACCATGGCAACATGCTCCTCACTATGGCATCAAGACAAATGATTGAAATGTCACGGTGGGGATGACTGGCAGCCTCGCCAGCCTCGCCAGCCTCCAGGCAGAAGCGGATCAGCAGAAAGAGATCCTTTTGCCAGGGGTCCATGGCGGCTGCTCACCGTTGCTCATCACCGAGCCGATTGAGTCTTGGCCAGGGAAGTTGGGAGAACGCCACTGGTGTTCACCACGAACTCATCACGGTGAATTCACCGGTGAATGAAAAGCAACTCTTTTCATGTTTTCGTCTTCCCAGCCATCCATGGAATCGTGGACATGAGTCAGAGTGTACTAGACAAAAGACCCTTGTGATTCGGGTTTTGTCTCCGACTCCGCAACTCGGGGAAGCTTTCGTCGGGTTTCCGAGAGTGGATTCCAAGTCCGGACTCGTTCACAGCTGAGACCCATGTGACTATTATATCGTATTATAAATAAAGTTTTATTGTAATATATATATAACATTATATTTTTTTAACGTCAAAGCTGCTGATGATTCCCAGGATGAACATGTTTCTTCTGAAGGTGAATGATGGTGAATGACTAGCCTCGTTGGCTGGAATGGGTAAAGAGATATGGAGAATCTGATCGAACCAGGATGGTTATGGTTGGAAAGATGAGCAGAGTAGCAGAGCAGCTGATTTTTTTTCAGGATGGAGACTTGTTAAATCTATCTATCTACCTACCTACCTATCTATCTATCTACCTGCCTATTTTTCACTGAAATCCACTAAAGATAAATGAGTCGATGTCCTCACACATCCTCTCACTATAGTTTGTCCATTCTTGTTCCGCTCAGGAAGGCTTGGAGATGGAGCCCCCCTTCTATCTCTCCATCCTGCACGTGAGGACTCAAGCCACGCACCGCCTAATAGGAATGGCCTCCAACCTAGAAGCAATGGCCTCCAATCTAATAGCAATGCCCTGGACCAGTCCGGAGGTGTGCATCTGAGTTCTGTGGTTCTGTGAAGTTGGGTGACAAAGAACGTCACCCCCACCAGCTTGAGGGCAAGCCCTGTGTCATCATGATATGAGATATCTATTAGACACGAGGAAGTGGCTCACATGAGGAGTGCACGGTTTCTGCAGCAGAGGATTATCAGAATCTAATGACATGAAGCAGACCCTCTGGTTGTTCAGAGTCCATGTCAATTTTGTTTAATTTGTTTCCGGCTGGAAACATACCAACCCAATTCAGGCTTCTTGTTTTGGGTTTGTTGTGTGGCAGTCCAGGTTTGTTGGGAGAATAGCCCCTGAACTCGAATTTCCGATCCGACAGGAACATTTGCAGGAAGATATCGACCCCTCCTCCTAGCCTTGCCTGTAGAACTTTGGTGACTCTGGTGATTGCCCGTTTGTTTGCATGCAAGCCACCACAGCCTAGACTTTACGGACCTCTTGAGCAATACAACATGGTGGAGCAGGATGGTGCCCTCATGCCTTGGAGAAACCGTTGGAAGCTCGGAAGCTACCTTTTTGCACCAGGCGTAGGTGAATTGTATTCTTTGTTACGTTCGCAGCTTCTTGATCTTCTTGTTACTAGTAGCGATAGCCTCCAACCTAATAGCGATGGCCTCCACCCAGCTCCACCCAGCTTTCTTTCTCTGGGTGTACAGCATAGATTGTGGTCATGTGAGGGACGTTCACCGTATCCATGTTGAATGTATCACCTTTCTTGGACACCTGCACGTGTTCTTGACATTCACATTTCCTGGTCGTTTTCTCGTCATTTTGCCCTTCAATGTCTCGCAGCTCGTCGAAGAGCGCTGCTCGGAGGACCTTGAAGGATGGCCAGTGACCGGGAGAACGGGTGGAGAGCGGGTGTCCGGGAGACCCTCAGGTGCTGAGGGCGACGCGATGAGCCTGCTTCGCTCAGAAGGAACACTTGTTCCTGACTTGTTCCTAGTAGCGAGGCCAGGAGCCCCTAGTAGCTACTTGTTCCTGGTAGAAGGTTGCTGATTCGCAGTGCTTGGGAAGATGCGAACTTCTTTTGCGATCGTGGGGGCTTAATGAGCGGAGCGCAGTGTTCACGATTGGTGACGGGTTTGGCCCAAAAGCACGCTTGCAGCACTTCGTGTTGTTATGAAAACAATACACACTTGACACTGCCCTGGACGTCCAAGACCATTTTCAGAATTGTAGATTTTGGGTTTTTGCAGTGTAAAATCCTTAGTAAAACCATGGTTGGTGGGTAAAGGCTATTTAAGAGAAAAAGCACACGTGGTTCGACTTCTTGACACTGGTTGAACACACCCTCCCGGTGACATTTTCTTGCACCTAGTGCAGCCGTCCGTCCAATATCTTACGTTCTTGCAGCTCCTCGTTCAGCGAATGCCTCCTGTGGAAAGCTTTGCACCTCCCGCAGGATCCACCAGGTCCTTTTCGGATCCCTCTGATGACCTTTCATTGAATGTAGAATTGCTCCTAATAGTACTGTAAGGCCAGGAGCCCCGTCCTTGCTCCTAGTAGTAAGGCCCTTTGTTTCTAATAGCTTCTTGTTCCTACCAGTCTTTCTCACGTGGCAACAAAAAACATTGCATGTGCTCGAACACATCACTTCAAAAATTATCCCCGACCAAAGACGGCCGCGTTACCAGGTACTTGGTCTACCACAACTTCTTCTACCTCTTTGATGCCTCTCCACCCTTCGCCGTACGCCACGTGCTGCGCAAAGAGGTGCCCTTGCTGCCTGGACCTTCAGCAGCTCGGCCAGCGACGTCGGGCCTAAGGACCGGACGTCGGGGCCAAAGAAGAGTGACACTGCTCAGTAGGGGCCGTCTCCAGTTGCCGAGCAGGACGATGTGGATGCCAACGTAGAGTGAAGTGTATTTCTCCGCTACGTAGTAACAAGTGCCTTACTACTAGGAACAAGGACGCTACTAGGAACAAGTGCATCGCTACTAGTAACAAGTGCCTTACTAGTAGTAACAAGAAGCTATTAAATTAATAGCTTCTTTGTTACTACTAGTAAGGCACCTGTTACTACTAGCGTGGCACTTGTTACTACTAGCTCCGTTGGTGAAACCGTGCATGTCGAACTCGAATGGCCGATGTTGTGGAAGGTCGTCTTTGTTCAGCGCGTCAGCCGAAGGGGTTGAGAAACACTTTGCTCAAACGAAGTAGCGCCCTATGAGGTTTTCTTCATCCAAACCAAGAGATCAGTGAGAAGGCAAGGCTTCCTTTAAAAGGTCCCCTTAAAGAATACCTTGCAAACTTGCATCCAGTATGCTCATCATTGTGTATCCTTGCCTACTTGGTCTCGGCTCGAGAAGTCACAAAGTAGGCAAAGTCAACCTTGGCGTCATCCAGACACGATTGTGAGGACTCTTCTTTTTCCAAAAAAGACTATTATTAATTAGTGCGTGAGCTATCCTGCGTCCAGTAACTAGGAGCTAGGCGCCCTTGCTGGTGCCGACTTGATTAAGTAGTAGGGGGGCAGGCCAGGACCTCAAAAAAGCTTAAAGCTTTCCTGTGAGGAGTGAAGATGTTACATCGATCGAAGATGCCGTGCAAGTGCCTGCAAAAACTAAGACATCCCCACGCAACATCCCCCTACAAAAAAAACAATCGTGAAGAAGATCGTGCACTTACACAATTCGGAATCTTCTTCTTCGTTATCGATGGACATCCGACAAAAAACCAAGACAACGCTTACGTTCATCCAAAAAAGTTTGAGAGCATATGCCCTTGACTCTGAACAGATGGCTACTGTCAAACCGGCCAGACACCGTGTTCTCTGAGAGACTGCCACTCAGGTCTTTCCTCTCTTGGTGGCCTTCGCCACCCAACTTCTGCGTCTCGACGATGTGTCGCTGGTGGTGCTCTTCGGAATGGGTGATGCGCGGGCGAAGCAGCTCAGGCTGCCACTGAGCCAACTCCAGGACTTCATTTGAAGGCGCTGAGTCAACTTCAGCGGATATTCCAAATGCAAAACAACACACAGTAAGAAGCTACTGGGCATTACTACCAGTAACAAGAAGCTACTAATAACAAGGGAGCTGCTGAATTTGGGGAGTTCATGATTAAACGCTTTTGGGAGTTCAGCACGGAGGGCCATTTAATTTAGGATTTTTTTTTTTAAAAGGAATTTTTGTTGTTTTTCGTGGCTTCTGTGGCTTTCGTGGCTTCTGTGGCTTCTGTGGCTTTCGTGGCTTCTGTGGCTTCTGTGGCTTCGTGGCTTCTGTGGCTTTTGGCTTTTGTGGCTTTCGTGGCTTCTGTGGCTTCTGTGGCTTTCGTGGTTTCTGTGGCTTCTGTGGCTTCTGGCTTTTGTGGCTTTCGTGGCTTCTGTGGCTTTTGTGGCTTTTGGCTTTCGTGGCTTTTGTGGCTTTTGTGGCTTTTGGTTTTTGTGGCTGTTTGCTACTAGTCCATATTTGTCTATATCTATCCGTCTATATCTATCTGTTTGTCTGTCTATCTGTCTGTTGTGTTGTGCTTTTCCTTTTATTCGCTTTGCAGAGAAGAACCCAAACAAGGAAGCAAGCAAGCAAGCAAGCAAGAGCTGCTCACCTTTGGATCTGGTGTGCTGCTGGGGGGGGCGCTGCGCCCCCCCCAACCCCCCCCGCCCCACGAAATCTGCACTTCATCTCCGCCACCCGCGCCTGCCACGAAACCTTTCTCTTTGCTTTTCTGCTAACTGCACCAAACTGTTGTGATAGTCTGACACCTACACTATTCCAATGCAAATCTGTCTACCTATCCATTTGTCTGTCTTTGTCTATTTATCTATCTCTCGATCTATCTATCTTTCTATCTTTCTTTCTTTCCTATCTATCTATCTATTTGCACTTCAACATCCACAAAGTCCTTCACCTGCCACGAAATCGAAATCGGCACTTCAAGGCCCGCAAAGCACTGCACCTGCCACGAAATCTGCACTTCAAGGTCTACAAAGTCCTGCGCCTGCCACGAAATCTGCACTCCGAGCCCCACAAAGTCCTGCACCTGCCACCAAATCTGCACTTCACTTCAACATCCACAAAGTCCTGCACCTGCCACGAAATCCGCACTTCAACATCGACAAGGTCCTGCGCCTGCCACGAAATGTGCATTTCAAGGTCCACAAAGTACTGCCACGACATGTGCATTTCAAGATCTACAAAGTCCTGCGCCTGCCACGAAATCTGCACTCCAAGTCCCACAAAGTCCTGCACCTGCCACCAAATCTGCACTTCAACATCCACAAAGTCCTGCGCCTGCCACGAAATCCGCACTTCAACATCGACAAAGTCCTGCGCCTGCCACGAAATGTGCATTTCAAGGTCCACAAAGTAGCATTTCAAGGTCCACAAAGTACTGCACCTGCCACGAAACACGAAAAACAAAAAAGATTCCTAAATTGAATCCGAGCCCGTTCAGCACGGTGCACTGATGTGACCGTGCTGACTGAGCCCATACTGAGGCCCTATACGGTGTAGTGACATAGAATTAGTGAAAGACGACGGAACTATTTATAGATTGTTTAAATGCACTTGTTACTAGTAGCTTCTTGTTACTACTAGTAAGGCACTTGTTACTAGTAGCGATGCACTTGTTCCTAGTAGCTGTTTGTTCCTATTTATAGATTGTTTCTTGTTAGTCAGCTGCAATTCAACAGGCGTGACACGAAGGGTAGGAAGCAGACACTCCAGCCACCGAAATATGGACTTCAGCTTGAGAATTTACAACTAACTGGTTCAAGAAAAAAACATGTCAGTGCTCAGAAGTTACCTTGTTTGTCTTTCAGTCTTTCTGTGGTTGTTCCTGATACGATCGTGCGATCTCACATGCTGATTGTACAAACTTTCGACCAAGAGCAGCAGCGAATGCGGGTGGAAAATCCCGGTGCGACCGTGGTCAGCGTCGCCACGACTAGGTACCGAGTTTGCACCTCCAAACGAACAGAGCAACCGAAACAACAAAAAAAGAAGATGGGCAGCATTTGTTCTTTCATCCAAGCCATCTTCTTTCGCTAGGAACAATGTTCGCTACGAACGGGGCTCCTGGCATCGCTACGAACGGAGCGAGGACTCTACGAACGGGGCGCTCCTGGCCTCACTACTAGGACCCAAACATGAGGATTCATCCCAACACCAATCTGTAGCCAAGTTGCTGACCACGACTATGTGAACATAGGTTTTACTTGAACTTCAACGTGTTTGGACAGGTTGAGTCAACACTCTTTGGCAAGATGAGTAACCTCGCCAAATGGACGGACTACATTAGTTTTCTTAGATATTCAAAACCAAATGGCAATGAGGTGTCAGAATTACATAGAATTATAGCATGCACAAGGAGTTGTTTCACCACTCTTCAGTGACAAAACATGTTTCAACCTCCGAACTCTCTGTTTCTCTCCTCGCCACGGTTCGTCACCACTTTGTGAAACCACACGACTCGTGAAACGACTCTACGATCGTAAACGAAGCAGATGACTCGTTTACAGACGCCAAAGCCGTCCAGCTGACCATTTGGAGGTTCCAGTAAAGACCTAATTAAGTTGATAGAACTGCGGATATCTCGCAGACGAGACATGGCTTTGGACGGTGATTCTTTTTTTTGTGCATCGATTGGTAAGCTGATGCAGCTTAGATATAGTCAGATGTAGCGGGGGCAAGAAAAACAAAAAGAACTCTCCGGTTGGACACCTGGTCAGAGAATATGACACATCTGACATTTTCAAGCAGATACATACCATTCTTCCGTGTAATAAGATTGGTCTATCAAGCCCTCCATGAGTTGCCTCCACTTGTATCGCTCAGAATGGTCACCCCGGTTGAGTTTTGAACTAAACGTTTTGATATGAGGCATTACCCAATGCATGCAGACATGCAGAAGATGAATGTTTTTGAAGTTAGGGACCCCAACTCATTGTCAGCAAAGTTCAAAACTACATCCACTGCGGGTGGATGTTAATGTACAACATGCTGCGATGTTGCAACGTACTAGCAAACCTGCAAACCTTTGCACTGCCGTCTTACTAACATCTATTGAGTTGAACATTGCCATAAATTTTGGTCAGTTGTGGACCGGTTGGTCAGGACCAAAGTGTTCACTTGGAATTGTGACCATGTGGGACCCATGGTGAAACATGGGGGGGTCTCAAATGAGGAGCCCCGTTCGTAGCGTCCGATCGCTCCTATTTGGCATGCCAGGAGCGCCTAGTAGCGATCATTGTTCCTAGTAGTAACATGGAGTAACCTTTCATCTCTCATCCCACGCCCACAGTGAGACCATCCGAAGCGAGACGAAAACGACACCGTGGCCTCGTCCGGTGACACGCGGCTTCAGCCCAAGTCGTGACCGACTGACGCGACTGAAACACGCACGACTCGCAACGCGACCGACGCAACCTGAGACGCGATGCCAGCCAACTCGGAGACTGGGATCAAGACAGAAGGCAACTGAAACACACAGACAGCAGGTGAGACAAAGAGCAGAACTAGGAACAAGAAGCTACTAGGGGCTCCTGGCATCGCTACTAGGAGCAAGGACGCTACGAACGGGGCTCCTGGCCGTACGACTAGGAGCAAGAAGCTACTAGAGACAGCAGGTGAGACAAAGTCGCGTTGTTCTTTTGTGCGAAAGGTTTGCGGAGGTTTCCGACCAGCATAGATGGAGGGATTCTCCATAGACGGGGTTCAATCATGCCTCACATCTCCAAGTCTTACCGTACTCGAAGAAAACAGGAAATCTCGGAGCTGTTAGGTGACACCGTCTTCCTTCATCCCAGTATAGCTGTAGCCAGAGTGAAGTTATCCCCTTGCCCTTGTCACCTATCATCAACGGCCGGTAGAGTAACGCTTCTGTTTGGTTTTCGCTCAAGCCTTCACATCCTTCACATCCTTTGTCACATCCGGTTCAGGTGCTTTTCCTCCTGCTTTATAAAAAGACACTGGCGAGAATCACCGAATCACCCAGGAGAAGCCTCACCTGTCCATCGTGATTTGCGGCCACGTCGATAGCGGCAAGAGCACCACCACGGGAAGGTTGATCTTCGAGCTCGGTGGTTTGCCAGAGCGTGATTTGGAGAAGCTCAAGCAGGAGAAGTTCGGAGACGGAGACACCAAAACGAGAGAGAGGGGATTGAGAACAAGAGTGACCATCGCTAGCGGGTTGGAGGCCATCGCAGGTAGGTTGGAAGAGTGAGAACAAGAGTGGCTGGGAGGCTTTGGTTTTAGAAGCTAGCTGAAAATTGATAGTGGGATCTACAGTAGGTACTTGGGTTAGGTTTTGGATCTCCAGTTTTTCATGTTCCTTGTTTTTGGGATTTTTGTGGTTGAGCAGAAGCTCGAGCAGAAGAGAGGCAGTTGATCACACATGTTTGTCAAGAGGAGAGGCCTCTTTGCCACTTAGTGGGTGCTGCTTCTTACTTAACCAAGCGACTTTTTTGTTTTGCCATCAGGTTGGAGCAGATGGCACCACCTCCAAAATGACCGCCCCCTCCACGATTTGGGTCACTTCGCGACGATGTCGTCGCCCGCACCATTGACTCTTGGGGGTGTAAAAAAGTCATAGTTTCTTCATGTTTCAGTCTAATCGCTCTAGAAATTGTACGATCGACTCTTCTAGTTCTTTTGTATGTAATAACTTGACTGTTCGACCCCTTGAATCGAAATGGTACATCTTTCACGGGGTCCAAATTGTATCCAACAATGCTTGCAAATTGCGCGGAAGATCAAGTAAGACATAAGTTAAAAAATGGAGTGATTATTTTATTCATCCACATCATGCTGCGTTCATCTCTTAGCCTTGTCTCGATCATGCAGATTGTATAGTTTATTGTGCATAATCAGATGCAGGACCAGGATACGCATGTTTCCCTCAGCACTTCGGTGCGGGCGGCTTTTGGTTGGACAGGTCCAGGTTGGGCAGTTTGGAGAGGATGTTTTGACAGGAATTGTGGAAAGCAGAGGTGTGGCTAAAGGATGGTAAGATATTAATGTTTTTGTTGAAGATGTGTGTCAGTCAAAATATAATGCCCGCACGCAACCAATTTCAGTAGATAAACCAACAAATATGCCTCTCATGCTACCCTGCACCTGCTTCGTGGCATTTCCTACCTTTTCCTTCCATGGTTGTCAACGTGGCTACCCTGAATGCTAGGAAGCTGAAGGATGCGAGGAAACTACGAACGACGTTTTTTGTCGTTTCAGATGCCTCGTAGTTTGATGATCACGATGCATCCATCTCGGGTCTCGGGATGATACGCCCAGCGCAACATGAGAGGCGCAGAAAGCCCACGTGATTGGAGTAGTTGAAATATGTGACATGTGAAAGGTGATATGTTGGTGGTGTGAGTGGTACATTGCCAGAGTTTGGGGTTCCAATCTTGAAGCCTGGCGCGTGTGGGTCCTTGATTTCAGCTGATTGGCTCATGACAGGTTTGGTATTCAAAAGATCGTCTCCAGGGTTCCAAGTGCAGGGTTTTGGGGAACAACATCACCCCCTGTTCCTGCCAGATAGGGGCTTCGCCCTTTGTGAAGACCAGACAGCCCGGACAACCCCACAGATGTGTTGTACGCAGGAGGCGGACCGTTTGGGCAAAGGTTCCTTCGCCTTCGCGTTCTTCATGGACCGGCAGAAGGACCGAGTCAAGACGTTGGGCAGTGCGTTCTTTGCGAGGCCATCGCTAATACGTTGGAGGCACATCATTGCTAATACGTTGGAGGCCATCATCGCTAATGGGTTGGAGGTCATCATCGCTAATCGGTTGGAGGCCATCATCGCTAATAGGTTGGAGGCCATCATCGCTAAT